TGATAATATCGCTGCCGTCAATCTCTGATTGCTTGTGTCGCCTCATTCCAGCCTCTGCTTGTGGTTATTAGCATTTGACGCAGCTTACCTCTCCCATCTTCCGTACTTCCTTCACTCCCAGGCCTCCAGACAGACCCCTGCAGGCACAGGAGTCATGGGAGCGTCAGTGGCTGGGGGCGGGGGGTGTTTTTTTTTTTTTTTTTATGATCCTTCTCTGCAGTGTGAGAACCTAACAAAAGGGCCATGGCAGGTCACAAATTGAGCTTACCAGGGAAAAGTCCTGCAATTAGCCAATTTTCTCTTCAAGAAATAATCGACCTATTTATAGGGATGCAGAAGGTAAAGAAGCAGAGAGCAAGGAAACATGGTCTAGGCATCTGAAATTGCAGCAGAGACAATTAAAAGGTCTGTATGTATTTTTACCATACAGAGGCATATTGATATTTCAGTAATTTCTCTGTATGTTCCCGTGATGCTACTAAATGGTACATATAAATGAACAGTGAGTTCTTAGTGCCAATAATTACCATGCAGAGAGAATATTGTGAAAATATATGTATATAAACACATACAATTTTCACAAAAAAAATTAAAAGAAACCTTGTTGATAAAATCTAAACAGTATACTTCTGATTCCACTTTCATTTGCACCGTTGCACATCAGGAGCAATATTCTGGAAGTCAGTGACTGTAAACTCATTCAAGAACAGAATAAATCCTCACAGGTAGAAACCAAAGTCCAGAGAAGTAAATGAAAGGGTTGCTGTTAAACTGAATAGTCCTCAAATCAAATCCTATGAACTCAAAGGGGAAAACACATTAAAAAAATGCTTCCAGCATGAGCAGAATTGAGAGGTGAAGTTATGTGCTAGAAAAGGCACAATAATGATTCGGAAAAAGTGACCTTTTCCTTTATTCATTCTCGCCATTTTTCAGATAAGGTAATTCTTGCTGAGTTCAGCCAGATTTGCATGAGAGTAAAATTAGATCAAAATTATGCCCAGGCTGTTTATTTTACCAGCAGCACATGTCTCAAGAGCGTGCTTTCATGTTTTCCTGTAGAAACAGTCAGAGAGGTGCGTCTAAGGCTGCATCTAAAGCTGATCACAGGGATTCAAATAAGAATGTCTGGCAGACTGAGTGGTCCCATAATCACAAGTGGTATCTCTTAAAACCTTCAATTACAAGAGATTAGTAGAGAATTGTAGCGCTGAACTAAAGGAGTAATGACACATAGGGAATTGAAGCGTAAAACCTGTTTTCTTCTTTTTAAGGAGAAGTTCAATTTATAGTTTATTTAAATATAAATTGCAAGCATAAAGTATGTTAGAGTCCTTCAACTTCACTGTTCAGTTAGTTTCAAATTAACTGTACTGCCTTTCTGCTTTCCCCAGAGCAGCGCTCTGATCTTCAACCAGTCTTTGCCTGAAATTGAACTGAAGTCTTCGAAGTCCATTAAATTCCTGTGCTGTCCTCATAGCTGAGTGAATTACTGCTCTCCTGTCTTCCCACTGCCTCCCACATGGAGTGGATTGCAGGGGCCAACTCTGATTCTGAACCTCTTCCTTGCCACCCCCATTCATAAATTGCGTGAAAAGCTGTGAAATGAGAGAGTAGGAAGCCATGTTCTCCCATCGTTTCTACGACTGTAGCTTGGCTGATTTACTCTTTTCATAACCACTATTGAGAAATGTTTTGCATGAAATCCTTGGTTTTCGGTTACAGGCATAATAATATTTAATTATGAATTGCCTCTCTGATGGCAACTTAAAGCCCATTAACAATATAACTAAATGTATCACTACATTCACATGCAGTGAAATAAGCTGTGACTCAATCAGTTTTAGAGATGGGGAGTGTGAAACAAAGAGAGGGATCGTATCACTGTAGTTGACAAGCATACTGCAAATGAGGCACATCCGCGAGGAAGGGTCCTAGCTCCTGAATCTCTACCTGATTCCTTCACCTCAAGCTGGCCTGTCTTCTCAGAATATACCTCTAGCTCAGATGTCTTGTAGTCTTGTTTTAGGCTTCTTATGCTTACTGCAAAAAGAGTAAAGTTTTTAAAGTGTATGGAATTCTCTGCTTCCTTGAGGCAGCCTACAATGTAGACACTTGCATCTCAGCTAAGCATCTAGACTCTTGCAGTAGTACGGAGGGAGGAAGGAGCACTTGTGGAATTCAATTCATCTTTTCCAGGCAGGTATTACATGCTAAAGGGCCTAGTTCTTTCCATTGCCTACGAAGAGGGTCAGACAGCAGGCTCTGATGGACACATCTAGTGCTTACTGGTCTGAACTGAGGTGAGAGGAATCACTCACGATACAGCTGGGCCAAAGTGCACAGACATCTTCCTGCCAGCTGCAAACAAACCAGCCTCAGTCAGAAGCAGCCCACCTATCAGGGCAGCCACATATTATCAATAAAACATTCCTCAGCCATAGCAAATAGGAAGCATTGAATCTCAAAAAGTAAATCCCCAATGCACAAGAGATAGACATGTTTGTGACAGTGGGTTTTTTTTTTCTTGAAAATGTCTGTATTTGCTGGAGTTGAGGAGCCAAATGGTCATAAAGTTTGTGCTGTTAGACATCTCCTGGGACTCCTGAGTTAACTCTTTGTTATAGTGGTTCATTCAGTTTATTTGGTGCTAGCAAATCTTTAGGCTTTCAGATA